GGTGGAGGGCGGCGGCGGCGTGAGCGGCGGCGGCCGCGGCGGTGGGGAGAAGGTGGAGGCTGGCGGCGGCGTGGGCGAGGTGGGGGGCGGCGGGCGAGGTGGGGGGCGGCGGCGGCGTGAGCGGCGGCGGCGGCGGCGTGGTAGAGGTGGAGGGAGGCGGAGACGTGGGCGAGGTGGAGGGCGGCGGCGGCGTGAGCGGCGGCGGGGGCGGTGTGGGGGAGGTGGAGGGAGGCGGAGGCGTGTGCGAGGTGGAGGGCGGTTGGTTTGGTTTTTTCTTTCTTTTGGGGCGGAGGAGGGGAGGAGAGGGGGAGGGTGGGGGAAGGGGCGAGAGAGAGAGAGGAGAAGAGAGAGAGAGAGAGAGAGAGAGAGAGAGAGAGAGAGAGGAGAAGAGAGAGAGAGAGAGAGGAGCAGAGAGAGAGAGAGAGAGAGAGAGAGAGGAGAAGAGGAAAGGTCCTAAGGGCTCAAACGTGTGTTGATTGCACAGCGCGAAGCAGAATTCGCAACATCCCCGCCATCTCTCACAATGCTGCTTCTCTCCCACGTCGTGGCGCCGTCCTTCTCCTCCGCGCCCATAGTGGGGCGTCGCCTCGAGCTGAACAAGGACACGGTCCACTGGGGCTACTTCTCCCAGCTTGAGCAGCCCAAGGAGACTCCTTCTCCCGCAGCACCTGCGCCTCTCACCTCGAACGCCCTGCTCCCCCCGCCGCACTCCTGCCACGTCTGTGCGCTCGCTCGCCGAGACACCTAGCGAGCGCTGTGCCACGCCTGTGATCCAAGCTCCTCCCTCCCGCTAGATGACGGTCGCTTCCGGCGAGACGGTGACCGTCGAGATGGCCTCGCACCACGCCTGCGACGACTACGACAAGGCGAGCCCGCTGCTCCAAGCCTGCGCTCACCCTTGAGCGGGGCGCTGAGTCTCGACGCTTGCTCCCTCGCAGATGGTTGCCGGCGACTCGGGCATGGAGTCGGTCTTCGAATGGTCCACCTCAGTCATGAACGTCGAGCGGCGCGGCGCGACCGAGCCCAGCCTCTTCCAGGCGGACGGGGTGCACGTGCTGACCGGCCCGATCTACGTCGAGGACGCGGAGGCGGGCGACGTCGTCGCGGTCGAGATCCTCGACCTGAAGCCGCGGCCGAACCAGGACGGCAAGACGTACGGCTCCAACGCCGCTGCGTGGTGGGGCTTCCATGCGCGCAACGACAAGGCGGATGGCACCCCGTACTACCCGGGCGGCTTCATGGGCAACGGGAGCGACCCGACCCTCCCGAACGACGAGACCGTCTCCATCTACGAGCTCGACCCGAGCGGCGAGTACGCGACGCTCAACTACATGTTCAAGTGGCCCTTCCTCACCGACCCGAAGGGCGTCTTGCGCA